GATGAGGAGTCGTCGAGCGCATTGCCTTTAATAATAGGAAGTATGACTGGTTAAATATTTGTAAAACCATGGAAACAACTTCAAGCTCTGATTTATGGAGGGAGTTTACCTGAAAAAAATACTGTGATTTTATTTATTTATTTATTTTTTATAACTCCCAGAGTAAAAGGACCTCCAAAGTAAAAATGCTGAACAGAGTAAATGGAGGAAATGTGGGTATTCATCAGTGGGCCACTTCCTTATTTTTTGAGTGTGTCCCAAGATTTCCCCCTACTGGACAGATGTGATAAAAACTGTTCAACAGATTATGGGGCTACAGCTGGATGGAAGTTTCTGCGTATTTTAAAAAAAAGTAGCAGCAACAAAGCACCACCACATACCTAACCAAGCTGTCCTGTGTTGTGGTATATGTGCAAATTAATTTATTTTGTTTGAACCAAGCTGATCCTTGCTCTGATAAAGGTTTGGTTTGTGGTAAGAAATGTTCTTGTTGTCAACTGTGTCTACGTAAAAAAAAATAAAATAAAATAAACAGGGCTGGAATGTGTTTTGTTTTAATAAAGATGAGGAAAAAACAAAACAAAATGGAAAGTGAGAGAAATCAGCTCGGCATGAATAAAATCAGGCGCTGCAGAGTCATCAAGGGTTCATCCAGAGTAAAATATTTTAGAAATGAATGGTGACCTTTAGTTTATATTTTCAGAGCTAGTTATGAGGTGTTTTGATAATTTATTATTGTGATTTGTCAACATAGATTTTCAGGCACAGGTGTGTTTGTCTGCTCAGTTTGGACATCAGAAAGTTCTTCATGAGGAAATTAAGTGAGAGATAATCTGGACGAGACAAGAGCTGTATGAACTGATGAGGAGAGAGAGATAATCATCTGCTTAAATCTGCATTTCTTCTGTTAGATGAGCTCCAAATAAAAAAGTTTTTGTAAATTTAGCATTTTTGGCATTTCATCAGCTGAGGAAACTAGTTAAATAGTTTAAAAATGTATTTATAATAATAATAATAATAATAATAATAATAATAATATACTAGGATGATCATCTAAAAATAACCAATTTCTATCTGAAACAAAGATCTTATTAAATTGTAAATGTTCAGTATGTTTTTTATCTATTTAATGTTTTTGGAGGGGATTGGGATTATATTATGTTAATGGAATTTTCACACCTGATTGTCTGATAAACTCAGTTAGAATGGAGATCAAAATTGCAACGTTTGTTATATTTTCAGCTGGTGTCAAACGAACCAAACCCTTTGAGCAATGTGTTAAACCCATCACTCACAAGTACGCACACTCACTACCCATTTTAGCACTCTATTACTATTATTATTACTTTTTGTTTCAAAACTCTTGGGAGGTGTTAACAGTGTGGAGACACTTTCTGCTGTTACACTTGATTGTTTAACTATGAATAATTATGTAAAACTAAAATAACCAGTAACCACATCTCTTCATTCCATCTTAGTAACATTGAATTCTTCATCTCTGACCTGGAAATGTCCCCAGATTTAATGTCAGAAATCTGGGCATCTTAAGGCAAGGTTAATGAGAGGAGAAGGAGAAGACAAACAGGTGAGAGAAGTTACCTGAGTGCTCTGCATCGGCAGAGGAAGAGGCAGCAGCTCTGAGAGCAGCGTCAGGCCAGAGAACAGACCTTCAGGAGCTTTCAGCAGTGAACTTAAGACTTCCTTCAGCATCAGGGACCACGTGTTACTGGCCAAAGTCTCTTCTGTATGAGTGACCTGCAGCAGACAAGAACATCTTCTCACTGTCATGACTCACAGTAACAGATTGCTTGCATCATAACAAACATGCAAGCTGTCACGCACCTGTTCGCTGACGCCCTGTGTGAAGGTGAGCAGCACATCCACGATCAGCGCCTGCACCCTGGTCTCCTCCCCATCCAGACGTCCTGATGCAGGAATGGAGCACACGATCATGTGGAGTGTCACCAGAACATTCGCCACTCGCGTGTCCCTGAACTGGAAGGCACCGCCGCAGAGCAGCTCGGTCAGCATGGTGCGCAGCAGCCTGAGGGTGCTGATGCATACGCTGAGAATCATGCAGCGCTGTGGCGTCGGGCCCATGTGGCCGTGCGCGCGCCATGGCTGCAGCAACACGCTGCACAGCTTCTGCAGGACGCGCACACAGGTATCCAGACCCTCCCCGGAGAACAGCTGCACACCTGCAAGGCTCCACTTCAGATCTCTCTGCTGGCCTGCAGACACCAAAAAACCACATTAAAGGATGTGATCTAATTTTTTTACAGTTCTGAAATTTAAATGTACGACTTTTTTCTTCTTTTTACCCTCAACAGCAGGAGGCGGACAGGCGATGTGGTAGAGGACCCTCAGAGCCGTGACCATCCCAGTTCCATCAGCGTTTAACACATTCTCCATATTCTGACAAAAAATAAGTTGTTATTGAAATTCAAAGTTTTTTCCCCTCACAATCATTCCAACACACAGCAAACCAATCATTTGAATTTGTAAGCCAAAGATGTAAGAAATTACTCAAAAACATTATTGCAGCATTGATAATTTTCATAAGCAGATGGATTTCCTCAAACAGAAGAAGGCCACGTGGATTTCTGATAAAAGGTTGCCAAAGTGAGTCATGAAGGTTTTGGAAAAACATGAAACTGAGGTCATTCAAGGTAGTTTGTGATAAACATGCAGAACTTTAAAACCTTGGGACTATTTTCAAAGAGATAAATAACAAAAAGAATCTGTTCAGCCCTGGGTCTGTTGGATTTTCACAAATATCTAAGGTGTGAAGAAATTTAGGTGAATTTAAGGAAAATAAATCGGTATTACCAATTAAACTCCCCAGAGTTTCAAGTAATATTAATAATACTAAATAAAAAGGCTGGCTTTGCAAACACTTTTTAAAACTCAATAATTTACAGAACCAGAGTCTGGATGTTAACCCAGTACTAACTCACACTCAAAAGAAAAAAGATGTGCTTCAAAGTGAAACGACAGCTGCAGCCCACAGGATCCATCCACTTGTATTTTTAGTAAAAACATTCTGAAGGTGTGCTTTGACCCGTAGCTGGTTAAAAACCACGTTGTATAATGGTGAGAACTATTTTAAGTGTAATCTATCAATATTAAGATGAGTTTGTAGGCACAAATAACGAGAAACTTGAAAAAGTCTGAAATCTCTTTTTAGTTGGCTTTGAGTTCCAGTACAGGATCGTGTGTGACCTGCAAGAACTCCACACTGTGTTTACATATTTATTGTTCAAGAGGGGTTAAACTGCAAATGCCTGCTTTCATCATTTTGCTGTTTTAAAAGCTACAGGTCACTTTGTCAGGTGACGTGCTTGTAGACAATGACAACACTGGGCTGTTTTCATCTGGCACTGATATAACTTCAGTTCTACACATAACAGCTGACTGAAGGGGATTGGATAAAATCAGCCTGATATAAACTAATCTCTACTCGATTCAATGTGTGTAAATACCTGCAGGTAATACATGAAGATAAAATAAGGTTACTGCTTACTAAAGCCTGGTTCACACAGCAAGATAATTATGCATATTTTTGACCAGATTTTGCCCTTCTGCCAATCTTAAGTACGCCCTGATTATGGTGAAGGCTGTAAAGATATTCCTGTCATGTGTGGTGAGTTAAGAGTCATCTAGTCGCGTGAAAGGACAATGGGACTGTGTCTATCTCAAGTTGAGGATATTTAACATGTTGGATTGTCTTGGCCCAATATTCCAGTGTGTGTGGTGTTCCCTAAGGACAAACGAGCTAGCAGCTTGTTGAATGTGACGTGTAGCCAATCAAACAATGAGGTGACAGAAACATGGAAGGGAATGCAAAATACAGAAGCCAAAACAACTGCCTTGGCACACCAGTCTTTTTGTTTTGTTTGTTTTCTGTTAAAAACAGTCCACAAACTAATGTCATGGATTCCTTCTTGTCGGCCATGTTTATCTACTCTGAACTCACGCTTGATCGAGACGTTTTGCGAGATTTCTCGTCTGACATCTGAATGTTGGTGTTAAATCTGTTCGTATGTGTTGTGTTGTCTTTGCCATGTGGCTGTACACCAACACACTGTAGGACCAAAACTGTTATATCTATGATCTTTCATCTTGATGTTTGAGCTCTCTCAGGTTTTGAAATTCAACCAACAACTTTTAAATCTTGCCACGTGAGCCAGGCATTAAATTAACACTGATTTCTGCTTGAGCCAGATGTGCATTAACAGATCTGTACCTGCTTAACGTAGTTGATGAGAGTAGGAATGCTGCCAATCTCAAAGCGAAGTTTCTCCAGAGGTTCCAGCCATTTACTGAGCTCTAAAAAAAACAAACAATCAAACATTGAAACCTTTTTCCTATAGCAAGACATTGATACAGCGCTGCAGATATTTACCCTGCAGCTTGGCATTAGTGTCATCTGCTTTAGTTACAGCGAGTAGCGGAGCAGCATATTGCTCCATCATCCGCAGTTCGTTAGAAGTCTGTACCACCATTAGGACAAGCATACAAGCATAGTTATACGTCACTGCTTTACGAGACTTTCCCTCTCTAAAAGAAAAAAGAAAAAGGTAAAATGATAGTGAAATGAAAGCACAGAAAGATAAACAAGCAGAAAGAAGAGAGCCGTACCCCTGTGCGTCCTTGCTGTGATGCTGGAGGAGAGTAACCAGACAGGACAGGTTGTTCTCCAGGCTCAGAACGTGGGCCACAGCACTACGACCTGTCTGCGTGAAGGTCATCAAGTAAAGTGCATGCAGCAGACCCAGAACCTCTGGGTTATCGCCTTCCTCGAGTCCCGCACCACCTTCTCCTCCGGCCGCCACGTGGTTCATGAGCTCAGACACACCCTGCAGAGTGTGCAGCGCCTGCATTAGCCAGACGCAAAAACCTTCTTCCCCGTAGCCGGGCCCCACAAGACTTCCTTCCCCTCCTGCTAACATGCTGTCCTCGCCCTCAGACTCAGCCATGGAGGCCAGGAGACGCAGCAGCAGGTTGGTGGGGGAAGCCTGGCCCAGAAGGAAGAGTAGACCGGACTGGGTAAGCGACAGGAAGCGAAGGAGCTCTTTAACGGCTTGAGTGACACCGACGTGTCCAGCTGCTGCAGCCGCTGACATCACCACTGAAGTGCTCTCTAAGAAATGGCATGTGTGCATATACCTGGCCGAGGACAAGAACAAAAGCACAAACTCGATCAGTGGTTTGTAGTCCAACATCACAAAGTCTAATCTCAGAATGAGCACCTGTACAGTGTCGGGTAGGGATTATCCCTCTCCTGTGGACCAGTTATTCTGGCCGTGGTGGGGAAGGCTTTCCCGGGAGGTTGCACCATGCAGTGAGGAGCAGATTCCAGCAGGTGATGAAGCTCTTCCAAAACCTCTGCAAGCCTATCCAGCTCAGCCTCACTGACAGGAGAGGAGCTCAGTGACGGTTCCTCCTCCATAGAGCTCTCAGTTTCCTCCATCTCCTCCTGAGAAAGAAATATGCTCAGTTTAGAATTATGAGATTGCAAAATTTATTGGTTTTAAGAAATTCTAACAGTTGTATTTGCAATAACGCCAACGTCCAATCAGAGGGCTTTCACTTTATATATTTAATTATAACTAGGAATGTCCCGATCAGATACTCAGTATCGGTGGCAGATATGGCCATTTTTTGAAAATCAGGTAAAATTGGATTTAGCCATGTAATCGGGCCGATCCAGTTTTCGCAACAGTTTTCAGCATCATCATGCTTTACAACTGCCGTTAAGAAGTCAAGATGCCCACAAGTATGCAACCATGTGTGGGAACACTTTTTTCAATGGAAAACAATGATGCTGAAACTGCATCTTGCAAAATCTGCAAACTGGATGTTTCTCGTGGTGGGAACAGCAGGGCTTGCTTTAATACAACCAACCTTGTCACTTGGAAAGAAATAAAGCTATCGGATCGGTATCGGAAAGACTAATCATTTTATTTTTAAAAAATCGGATTGTATCGGGATGGATCGGGACATCCTTAATTATAACCAGAATTGAATAAACGTCAACTTTAAAAACTACTCCTCTTTTAGGACCAGCACTGGAATTAAGAGCAACTAAATTATCTGCTTCCTGATTGGGCAGTTGATCTATGATTGACTTGTTGCTAGAGCTGCACAATTTATCATCATCACAATGTCAAGCAGGGTTGTAAAATTTTGTTTCCAATATTGTGCAGCCCTACTTGTTACCTTAAACGGTAGTTCAAGAATTTGTTAAAAAAGGGTCAAATTTTGTACTTGTAAATTCACAGATTGTGAGAAAATTTAAGTCCAGGTTTTACACACAGCTCCAGCATGTATACTGTCTGTGAGTAAATGTTCACAAAAGCATCACAGTTTTTACTTAACTTACTCTTTTTTTTTACAAACACAGCATGCACAAATCGACATTTATAAAAATAAAAACAGCAAAAGCAATTCTATGTAACATGCTCACTTTACAGGTTAAAAAAGTTGACTTAACTTTTGAAGATGAAGTATCAATTAAAAAATGATCAGTGTTGTGTTTTTGAGCTAAAATGAAACGAGGACGAAAATCTATTAGACCCTTAAATCACTCTGATTGATGTGATTTAAGAGTGATTTATTGCTGAATCCCGACTTGTTTTAAAACTTCAAACTCTGAAATGATATACTTTCAAAAACAGATGCGATGTGATTCTCAATGAAACCGTGTTCAGGAACAGGACTGATTGCGTGCCATCACCTGCTGCGGTTCACTCCATGCTGTGGCTGCATGATGGAGGTTGGTGAGTACTTCAAATGTGTGGCTTTTTTGTAAGATGGCGTTTCCAGCTGTTATAACTCGGACTGTTTCTTCATGCAGGAACATCTGGACCAAACGCTGTGAAGAGCATCTGGATTAGTGTTGTGTTTAAAAAAAAACTAAAACGTCTTTGTTTTTTTGTTGTTGAAAATGAAATAACAGAAATGCATCAATATTTTTTTTCCTTTCTTAAGCACTGTGTTGCTAACCTGGTAGCCACTCTTCTCTGAGATTCCCGCACCCAGGAAAGCCTTACATCCTGCAGGAGCGCTGATGAGAGCATCCAAAGCTCTGAGGATACTCAGCTTCAAAGTGGAGGAAAAATGGTCAGCGTGAAGCAGCTCCAGCAGCACATTCAGGGCCCCCTGATGCAGCAGTTCTGAGAGACCCTGCGGACACTCGGCCAGGCACGACGCCAACTTTGCACCGGCTTTTAATTGTCTGAGGTTCAGGGCGATGGGTTGAGTGAGTGCAACCTCCATACTCAAAGCCTGGAGAGCCCATCGAACTAAAACTCTAACAGGTTCCTCCACGTCTGCCTGTCCTTGTTTGATTAAGTAAGCTAAACCTTTGTTCAGTAGTCCAGGTGCCTCTTCCAGAGCAGTGACCCATCGAGCGTCTCTGTCTTCACCGACTCCAGCGAGTAGTTCTTTTAGCTGAGCAACTGCTTCACTCTCCTCTCCACCTGCCGAGCCTTCTGTTCTGCCAGCATCTCTGGGCTCTTCCACGGTGGTCTTCTCCAACTGGATATCAAAACGAGTCTTGTACGGAGAAGTGAAGTAAACCAGGGGTTTGAGTTCTCGTTCGTATGGATCGTACTGGACAGGTGGGACGGAAGCAAGATCCTCAGGAGTGTAGTCGATGTCGAAGGTGGGCAGCTTGAAGTTCCCGTTGTCCAAGTCGTCCTCGTCGCTGGAAATCTGCTCATACCCATCGTCACCTGGCAGAATGAAAAATTTTAAGTTTAACAAAAGTTCTCAATGGTCCTTGTACTTTTTGGTCATTAATTTTTTTCACTTTAAAAGTAGACATTGAAAAACGGATGGCTTCCTTTTATACTCCAAAAACGGAAAAACAATCTGGCTTTTTATTTTTCTCAAACCAGAAGTTGTCATGGCAACTCAACGCTGTCCTGCTGTGGCTTTAAGTTCCTCACCCTGGACCTCTTGAAGAAAAGCATCATGTGCTAAAAGCACCAGAAGCTGCGGGAAACAGTTTGAATCATCAAAAGCTGCGTTTCCATCGACCATGAAAATGTGCAAATTAGAATTTAGAAAATAAATTTGCTCAATTGAAACACGTCAATTTTGAAAAAAAAAAAGACGTTTTCGACAAAATGTTTTTGCGCTAGGATGAGGTGGTATTTCGACCGAATCGAAATTGGTGTTTTTCGCAAAACTGCAATGGAAAAACTTTTTTCGCAACACGGGAGTCACGTGACCAACAAGGGGCTGTTTCTACTGGCGAAAAAGATGATGACGAAGAAGATAACAGGAAGTAGAAATAGTAGTAATATCACAGAAGTAGTATAAAATAGTAAACTCACCGACTGCAATTTCCCAAAAACACAGCATATGTAGCCACTCTCAATTAGGGGCTTGTCGCTGGAAAGCCTCAATAAAAGACGCTGACGTCTCCTCTGATGATGAGCGCTAGTGTCGCGGTAGCAATTATGCTATGTGTTTACAACCATTGCCACCATGTTTGTAATGACTTACCGCGAGAACAAACGTATTCACACGTGACTTTAATAGCATTTCTTACTTAATGGAAACACTGCAGTTGCGAAACTGTTTTTTCGACATTAACAGAATACTGACAAAGTTTTGCGCACATTTGCACTGGAAACGCAGCGAATGATACTGCCTGGTTAGTTAGTTATAAAGTAAAACATGTTTGTTCATGCCATTATCAGACCATTTAAGGTGGAACTAGATAGCAAAAGTAGATATCTAGCCTTTATTTATTTATTTATTTTCAGGCAGCTGTCTGTTATTAAAAAGTTATTTAAGTAGCTCCTCCTTAAATGGTCTGACAACAACAGTGATCAATTTCCAGTTTGAGAAAAATGAAACGACAGACTGTCCCCATGTTTTGAGTGTAAAAAATAGAACAAAATCTGTGTATGGTTTGTTCTTTGGTTTTCCCATTTAAAAATAAAATCGCAAAAAGAAAGTAACTAAATGGTGCTCTAACAAAATATAAATCTTGTCTTTGCTTTAACCATTAAAAATAAAAAAATAAGTAATGAAAATAAAAATAATAAATTTCTTAATTTTGCAGTTGTTGTTTTCCTAGTTTAGTCCTAAAACAAAAAGAAGAACGACGCAAACACTGTTTTTCTTTTTCTTTTTTCCATATCTGTTTTTAAAAGGAAAATCAAATGACCAAAAAGTACACGGACTCTCAGCTCTCTAATAGTAATAAAAAAATCCTCACACTTAATGGGTTCCATAAATATGTGTAAGAAAATGAGTGAGAATGAGGAAAGCAACGATAACTACTTCGTCTCTTTATCATACAAAGAAGCGTACACTCACAAAGCTACTGCTGACCCCGGCGCCACCACTCTGAGCATGCAGGGTTAGTTTTGTCATGCAGGACGTGAGCACAGCACACACTGTGAAAAGGCATCAATCAGGAAGACTTTGCGTATGAAGGTTAACCAACAGCTATCAGGAAGAGTTTGGTGCACCATCCAGCGTTTGCAGATGGATGCAGCATGCCTGAGCAAACACTCCAGCTGTTGCTCGGTCCCAAATGGACCCCACCTCAGACCCCCTCAACAAAGTCTGACAACTTTATGCAGAATTAAGTTAAAAAAACAAGCAAACAAGGGGGTCAAGACCAGTGTCCGTTTGGGATTACAGGTTATCCTACTCTCACATAAGAACTCCCCTACCTTCCTCCATCTCCTCTTCCTCACCCTCATCTTCCTCTTCTTCCTCCTCCTCTTCCCGGGTGCTGCATTCCGTCCGTGTTTCTTCCTCCTCCTCGCGCTCCTCTTCTTCCTCTTCCTCCTCGCCTTCTTCTTCTTGCTCAGCCTCGGAGAACGCTTCCTCGGTGGGCAGTGATCTTTCAGGAGACACAGCTTCCAGATACTCGTCACGGCCTTGGCTCGGCTCCTCTTTGATCACGCCTACTGTGAAATTACCATCACAGACAAAGCAAAAACAGTGTTTGTTATACAAATTAATACTTGGACATAATCAGAGAGATAAAAGATGGTGCATTAGATAGCAAGGCGGTGAGATAAGTGGGATACAGTATTTGTTTCCTAAAAATGAACAGGATGTCATATTAAAATGTAACAAATCCATCCATCCATCCATCCACTATCTTTACCCACTTCTTCCTTTCAAGGTAACGGGGAAAATGTAAATAAATAAAACGTAAAAAAGGATGATAAAGAAAACAAGGGATAAGCTGTAATTCTTCCTTAGTTTTAAAGATGATGTTATACATCAGCACACATAGACTTTGTGGTGTTTCCACAGCTCTAACCTGTCATGGGGACCTGCTCCTCCTCATCGTCATCAGGAGGTGGAGGTCCAGGTGGAGTACGAGGCCCTCTGGGTGCTGGCCTGGGTGGGCTGCCGTTGTACTGTCCTTCTTTTTCCCATTCTTAAAAAGACAAGCAATGACAGCTCATTGGCACACAATAAATATATTTTACATAAAGAAGAAAAAATGTCAGTTCAGTTCAGTAAAGCAGATGTTTAAAGCGACTGCGCCGATTCGTTTCAGCCCAACAATCCTTACCTGATTTGATAATCCTCTTGAGCCCGCTTGGTTGTTGTGGGGGCGGAGGCGGAGGAGGGGGAGGTGAATCGTGGTCGTGCCCATGAAGACGATCGGCGGTCCCGTAAACGGCCAGGGTCAAACTGGTATACCAGCCGCGCAGCACCAGCCCATCAGTGTTCACCTGCACACACGGTCACAGTTACTCAAAAAACAACAGAAAAGAACATCAACCGTCTGTTTATTGGGAATTTGTTACCTTTCCACAGGGTCTGAACACGATGGACTTGTTTTCATCATATTCCAAACTGAGGATAAAGAAAAGACAGAAAATACTGAAACAACAGTGTAAATACGCTGACAGGCCAATAACAACAACAAGTTACATAATCTAGTATTTTTTGAGAAATTTAAGCCTTGATTAGGGAACGCATTTAATAAATCACTGTTTTGTCAAACTTATTAAGTGTCACATTTTTTTATCCAAAGTTGCATTAAATCATCCAAATCTTGTATTCTCAGACAGTTTCTCAAGCACATTCCACTGATTTTAAAGTGTCTGTGGTATCAAATTTTTGGAAAAATTGATAACATATTGCAAAGATAATTTCACACCGCTGACATGAACAGATGAGATATTTGCAGGTGAAGTAACAGGAAGTGATGTCAGATTATTAAGATTATAGATTATTTTGAGTCACTATCAGAGAGATGAATTTAGAGTTCAAATATTGTTTAAATAAACAAAAACCAGGAAGTTTTCTTTCTTAAAGTGTTCCCCTTCTATGTCCTTTCCTGTTTCACTTTGGCTGAGCCAAGTTCAAAAGAAAATATGGCAGTTATGTGACAAAATGGGTAAAATCATGTGTATTATACAATTTAAAAAAATATAAAGATGTTTTCTTGGACTTTTTGCATTTGAAGGATGTGCATGTCACAGACACTTTGAGTAGATTAAACCTGGGATCCTAGGTGGCCAGTTCATGTGTGTAAACTAAGCTATGTTACTTGAGCCATTCTAACAATGAGCATCCATACATCATCATTCTAGTATGTGCTGATGACGTCAAGGAAAAAAAACTTACTTTCTCCCAACATTTTAATTTCACTAAACTAATCACAGTCATAGTTTTTTATAACCACCTTCTATTATAAAATGTGTTTTTTATCCTGATTTATCATAAATTGTTACAAAAACATGTCTTGTAGTTCCAAGTTAATAAATTAGATGAATTGTTATGTTTAATTGAGATTCTGTTTTTAATCACTCCACTTAACCAAACGGAGTCTTTATCTAAAAAAATGTTCTAAAAATGTTAGTTACAGCTGTTTATAACATCTGATGTTATTTTAACACTAATCCCAGAGGTTGGACAAAAAACTTTCCCAGCACAGATAATAAGTTGGGTGTGCCACATTAACAAATTTCACAAAGCCTTACTGACAGGGCAGCTTTAAATACAACGTGGGGCTCCAGCGCTACTGTGCACACCTCTGTTATTATGAAAAGGTTTGACTGAAAAATTCCTCTTCACTCTGCCTGAATGAGATCTCTACATTTTCGTGTCACTTTCAGCTACAGTACAGGTAGAGTTGGGTTGGGTTGGGTTTCTGGATAGACCAGCTCAGTCAGGTCAGGAACAAAGAGACCTGAATAAGGATGAGTGCACAACAAGCCTATGCAAACAGGTCCCACATGCTCCTGTGACCGGTTTTACAGGTGGGACAGATTTCTCCAAGTTGGGCACTTTGATGATCCGTCCAGGAAGTCATTGGAAAACTGATAATGCGTTTAGACTAAACGGTTTAAAATGACAACATGGAAGCAGGGAGGGGTGTAAATGATTCTGACCTGCCCAGTCTGTGGAAGGTGGGGCTGTTGGGCTTGGTGACATTATTGAAGAACAGCTCCAACTGGAAGGCATGAGGAGACGTTTCCCTGGAAACACAATCACGACATATTAAGTACTTGTTCATTAGCTTTTTAGTTTGAGGTCAACGTCAAAAAAATGAAGAGAAAACAGTCAGCATATACCAAATACAGATTCCATTAAAGAACATCTTTGAATATTTTATTACCTGACTAACATACTGCTTTTATTGGATTTTGGTAGACATAAATCTCTAAGTTTTGTAAAAAAACAATTTGTAAACGCAATAACATAAACTTAAGGTTACTTATGAAAATGTAGATGTTATGACAGAACAATTAGCAAAAACAAGATTTTTTTACTGATTTATTTTATATAAAAGGCAATAAAAACAAAAGTCTCTAAGTATTTTTTCCACATCATTGACCTCTGGGTGTTTGTTTTTACATTCTTCAGGACTCAATCATTTAATTAGCATTTATTAGTCACGTCACGTCTCAAACACCTTAAAAGCCTGAGCAAAACTCAGGTGTCAAAATCCCTTCCTTTTTCAATCAAACAGGATTTTTTGAAACCACATCCCACACAGATATAACTTCCGTGTGCCGATATATCCACAGGCAATATTTCATTAGTACTTTATGTATCACAGGATTGAAAAAAATAGTATTTAACAAGGTCCTGCAGACCTTAAAGACCTGCCGAAGAGCAGGGAAACAACTAAAACATCTAGGATATATGCCCTCAAGGACCAGGACTGAGAAACTATACTATAAACCACTGGTTTATAGTCTTTTAAATCCCTCCTGAAAACTCAATAAGTTTTAACCTTGGATTTCAATTCAAGTTTAGTTTGAAATCCTGTTTATTTATAGCCTGCCTTATTGTACCTATTGTATGATTTCTGTATTTATTGTTTTTGTTTTTCTGTAACCAGCTAATAAAGTACTTTGATCAAATTTATATGTTTGTAAATGTTTTAACGAATTAAAATAAACAAATTCAACTTACTTTACATGTGTAACAAGAGCATCACACGGGAATGAACTTAGATTAGGCCAATAAAATACATTTTTAATAGACCTAACAAAAAATAATTATCTTATCAGTCTGTGTTTTGTAATGCAGGTTTGTCTGGTTTGACCAGATTAAATCTAAACCACCCGATAGCACATTATTTGAGTGTGAGTGTTTGTGAATCTGTGCTGCAGCTCTTACCCAAATCCTCTGTTGTCAGGTAAGTTGCTGTGAGCTTTGATCCCTGGAGGAATAACCCGCACCTCCGTGATCAGGACCCCGCAAGGAAACCGCACCACGTCCACGTTAGTTAGCTGAGTGAAGTGGACAGAATCAAAAAGCATACAAATGTGTTATCAAACAAAAATACATAAAAATATATTTAATGACTTCAATAGTCAAGTTTTTCAACCTGTTCCAAAGTAAATAGAGCTATCTTTATGATTAGCACTGATAATTACCTTGACAGGAAAACAAACCCATGTTCAACGAGGATGCAAAACAAAACTAGTGAAGAAACGTATGTGTTTATAACTCTCACTTACAAAAACGATATTCGTAACATTTATCTAGTAAACAACATAAATGCCTCATGATATAAAACCAGCGGTTTGCAATAACACACTGTTAGCAGAGTTAGCACCGTTAGCTTCAAGTTTAGCATAATTTTCCAAAAGTCCTGATTATGATTCAAGTTTTTTAATGCAACTAGTTAAACGGAAATAAAATATGTATTGAGGTGGGTCCGATATGCAAATTTACCTCTGCACTTTGATGCTTAAATGTATCTAGAAAAAGAAGCTCCGTTGACGCGTCCAGCGCCATAGCCGAGTAGCTTGAGACAGGACGGTGAACAACTTCCGGGTCATAAAGTCGGCTACTTCCGCTCACCCGAGACGCTTTATTATTA